TGAGAATATCGCACCTTTAAAAGATGCTTTTTCGCCAGAATCTCATCCATCGTTCCTTTGTACATCACTATTTCATTTTCCTCAGTGAAATTTCTCCGAACACAAAGAGTTACCGTATCAATAGCCAGATTATGAACACCCATCGACGCCGTGCTAGACATAAGCTCTGCAAAAATTAATATTTTAATGTGTTGTAACTGTGCAATTGCTTTGGGTATGGTGTGCATCCTGTTGGCAAGCAAAGTGTCGTAAAGCGTTTGCGATATTTTTTTTTAGTAAGGTTGTACGAAAATTACTTGTTCGAAATGATTAGGTAAATTTATAGTATGTTTTCATCTCTTAGCTGTAAACAGACAGAGCATTGGATGCGAGTAGAAATGGAGATCGTTAGTACAATCCTCTGATTGCCATGTAAGGAAAAAGCAGATTTAAATAAGCCAGACATATTTATAGAAGCTGCCGTTGTAAGCCGAAGTCGCAACAGTTACACGAGTTGTAACAGCGATGTGCAGCATTTTCCTTCACGTGATATAGTAACGTTGTGTAGTATTTGAAGTTTTCTTTTGCTTGAATGAATGTTTGTTGATAATATCGGACCCAGCAGATGCATTATCAGTTAGTGGCGAAGTAGTAGCCGTTTCAAATATCAAATAAACTTCACCCAAACAGTCATTGTGGCATCTTAGTAATATTGATGAAACAAAATCCAAAAAAATGCACAACTGCCTAGACGGGTGAATTCGACGTCAATATCATCAGCAATCTGATGAACAGGCAATGCAGCAGTGGTCAAAGCAAATGGAAAAGTTTCAGTTGCCCAACTAGAGAAACAGCAATGCTTTGCAACGATCACAGAATCAAAATGTGTAAACAAAGGAAAAGCTTCACATTATGCCAACAGCATTATCTCTTCCTCCGTAAAGCTTTTTACACTCCGGTCTAAAAGAAGGAAACAAGCTGTCCTAATCGACTTGTGTTTGAATGAAGCAAAATGTATATCAGATCTGTGATACAGGCAACTACGATGTAATGGATCCAAAAACTTGTGCTTTCAATGAAATACGAATGGGTAAAACGAAAAGCTCAGAAGCATAAGCATACCTTGACATCTAACCATTTTGCTTCC